AGCCGGCTCCTTCATCCCCCGTCGGATGAGACGAGGCAGAGGGGAGGCCGGAGCGGCTGAGAAGGAAACGAGAGCGGCGACGTGAGCGAAGTCTTTAGCTAACCCTTAAATTAAACCCGCGCTGGCAGGATTTAACACGACAGTTATTGTATGCTAATTAAATGTTTGAATAATTAACCGCACGAACTACTCAAAATGCCTTTCTCCAGATGTAACAGGTATATTATAAGGCTTTTAACACGCAGGGGAGAAAAACCTTAATAAATAAGCGATCACAGATACACGCTCCACGCAAGCCTACGCTAAAAGGGCCGTATCCTGTTCCATGGTGATGGGACCGGCGTTTCAGCGAGCTGAGTTTGCCCTCGCGTTTCGTGGCTACGAGGCTGGGAAGGGTTTGGGCTCCAAACGCGCTCCAAGACTTGCACGAGGACTTGCTGTCCCTGTCAGACCAGAACCACACCGCTTCCCGCCTCGTCAAACGCGCCACCCTCCGTCTTCCCATGCGCGCGACGTCTGCTCCGGATCAAAGGCGAGCGCCGGGAGCGACTCCAAAGTGACTCCGATGCGCGCCGGCAGCTTCCCGAGCGCCGCGCCGGCGGAGTTCCCGCTTCCGACGCCTCTCGTTTACACTTGTCACCCACAAGACACCTCCGTGTCTTACAGGGCGCTACGACAACGGGTCCTAATTCAGCAGCAAGGGCAATTCCTGACCTGCGCTTCCTTCCAAGCGAGCCCCATAGGAAGACACCCAGAAACGAGGAGGACGTACGTAAGGGCCTTAATGAGCAACTAATAGCGAAGGGATGGCAATTCCTCTCTAAAAATACGGCACAACGAGACGTGTCGTACGGCGCCAAGACGCGTCTAAGGGATTTCCAGGATGGGCAGCGCTTCCTGCGGCAGCAAAGCTCTCCGGAGCTCGCAGGACGCGCGCCTCTGCATTCCCTATGCAAGGCGAGCAACGCCTCGGAAGAGGCGGAAAACTCCCGGATCCAGAAAGCTTGAGGCACTCGCCTCTTCCTCCCGGCTCCGCGCCGCTGGAAGCGCCGTTAATCCCCCCGGGAAACGTCCCGGCACGGGAATGAGAGGAAAAGCACGGCACGCGCATGCCCAGGTTGGGAGGCGACTGCTCGCTAAGACAAAGCTCGTCAAAGGCGTCACCTCAAAAGGCTGAACGTCTTTATTAGATTCCTGCCGGGCCCCCCGAGATCGGAGGGACACGACGAGAGGATTCTCAGCGGAGCTGTCATCATCCAGAAACTAATTAAAGGCTGCGCGGGAAGTCGGGCCGCGCGCGCTCCGGAGAGCGAAACGCGTTAGCGAGCGGAGTCGGGAAAAATATTACAAGCCAACTTCGGATCGGAAAGGGCCAGCTGGGGATTTGACAACGACGTGCCTCTCCCTGTCTTTCTTCCCGCTCCTCCTGCCTTTTTTCCCTTCTTTCCCAACACGGCCGCAATCTCGGGGTATTCCGGGAACGGGGAGCGCGCGGACCCATCGCACGGATGCGGGAGCCGGAGCGTCATCGCCAGGGACAGCTCTGAGTCCCTCGTGCAGCCGGTGCCTCCAGGGAATATAGGGCAGATACCTCTGCAGTGAAGCCTTAGTTAAAAAGATGCTCTTTAAATTACATTTTGGCCATCTCGAGCAGAGAGGTCCTGCGCATGCACACTGTTTTTTCCTTTATGTTCCATCTAGAGGCTTAAAAACACACAGAGAAAAATAAATCTCCCTACCATGGAAAACACACCGCGCTCTTGCACCCTGCCTCTTATCCTCGGCGGCTCTTGTGCCGCCTCGTCCCCGACTCGAGCACAAAATGAGCGTTTGCGATTCCCCCGTCCGCAATGACACTAATCTCCTGCACGGAGCGGGCCCGGGGAAGGCAGGGCAGATCCTGCCGTGCTTCCAGAAACGGCAGAATTGGCCCCAAAATGACGGTTTTAACCTCAAAAAACGCTCAGAAAAAACGCGGCGACGAGGCGGGGCCATCCGCGCACGAGCATTTTCCATACGGATTGCTCCCTCGCTTCCTGCTTCTCCTAAACGCCACCCTGGAGCTTGCTTCGGGGCCACCCTCATGCCTCAGGGGAGTTAAGAGGACCTCCAGGAGCTCTTCTCCATCAAGCGACCTTCGCTTTGCCCATCTCTCTTCCAATGTTCTTCCCAACACGCTCACGCTCGCCACGGAAGGAACAGCTTCACCCTCTCTGCGTCCTCCTCCTCCTCCTCTTCTTCCTCCCGTCTATTCATTGGCTTGGGCAGATTTTCTTTCCCTTCCCTTCCCCTTTCATTTCCAAAGCCTGCGATGCCCCGATTCAAAATCATCGCCGCTTTTAACCCACCGCGGCCCTCTTTAATTAAGTTACTTTCCATTATTTTTTATCTAGCTCATTTGTCTACATCCCCCCTCGCCCTCCCTTCCCTCCTCGCCGCGGCTCGGGCTATGAAAGCTCGTGTTTCCATTGGGCTAACAATCACGTCGGAGTTGTTAAACGCTATTAAATCGCATCACGCCGGTCACCGGACTGCGGTCGGCGAGCTCGGATATTTACTCGTGCCCATCAAACGGGAACGGAACCGCGGGAGCGCGCGGGGCCGGAGGGGACGAGCTTATCCCGCCCGCGGTGCCCGCGAACAAGCGGAATCCGCCCGGATTTCCGAGCGAGTTCAAAGGGAACTCTCGAGCTGAACCACGAACACGCCGCAATGTCTTTAATAAATCAATTACTCGTTGGCAGGGAAGCGGCACCGCTTCTCCAAGCCTTGTCATCGCCGCGGCCTCGCTGTGTTTTAAGTGCCCAAAAGCCACGGAGAGGGTAGAGCGAGCCAAAAGAAGGGCTCAAAACAAAGAAAAACTCCCGCTGTCTCACCAGGGAAGAAAAGATGCGGATAGAAACGCGCGTATTGCAAAAAAATCCCCGGGACAACCTGAAATAAAGTATAATAAGGCCGACCTGCTTGGCCGGGGGCAAACCCCGGTGCCCGGCGTGAATCCGCGCCGCGCGCTCAGCGCGAACGGGCACGAAGCGTCTCCACAAGTGATGAACTCCACTCGGAGCCGAGGTCTCACACGCGGCGCCGAGAGCCTGGCGGGGCCATCAATTACCCAGCCCTGCTGCCAGAGGAGCAGAGAAATAGTTTTTCGGCCAAAAAAAGAGAAGATAGGGAAGGAAAGCGCCGCGAAGGAGGCATTAATTCTGCAAGCGGGGACAAGTGCCTGCGAAAGAGCAGGAGCGGCGTGGGCTGCAGCGCCTGGGTGTGCGGAACACGTCTCTGAGCGAGGAAGGTTGGGCCGTTCTGGGGGGGAACGGGGTGGCTTTTCTACCCACAGGCGTCCAATTGCTAAGAGGAGCAACCGACCGCACCAGAAAAGCCCAAACTAGAAATTCAGAGGGTTTCAAAAACACCGTTTGCCTGCCCTTTCTGCACATTTTTGCCTTTTTAAAGCTCCTTGCTTTCCGTTCCTTTCCCCTTTGCTAAATCACTCGCTGCAATTGCAGCAGCAGCAAAGACAAATGGTGAAAAGCAAAACCTCTCCAGTGCAAAGGCCCAGCAAAGCCAGCGCAATTCGGATCCTCCGGACACCTGGGCACTTGGCACGGCCGCGCCGCGTGCGGTTCCGCGATAGGAAAGGGGTGGTCAGAAAACGCACCAGGCGCCGGTCCAGCCACTCGCATCCCTGCGGCGCCCGGGGCCGCTTCCATCCCCTGGTTTAGCACGGATTGGCACGGGACGGAAAACGCCGCCGCGCCAGAGAGGTGTTTGGGCCAACGGGCACTGTCTAGGCCCGACCAACTCATCTCAGGTAGGATCTGTGCCGGATCGCGAGGTATCCCTGCCTGGAAAAGATGCCAGGCCTTTCCTTCCGGTCCCGTTCCCACCTGCCAGGTGACACGTGGGCAACACAACTGCGGAGAGGTGGCCGAGGTGGCCTCCAACAAGCAAGTCCTCTTGGGTGGCCTCTTGCAAGTCCTCAGAGCGCCAATCCTCGGTCCCAGGCTTCCCATTCCCGACTTAACCCCAGGGGGACCATCCCGAAAATCATCTCTAAATGTCCCAAAGATGAGCCAGATTAAAGGACCAACCTGTAATTTATGCTCCAGACTCGGGGTTTAATAATGCAACAGCAAAAATCAATATTTAATAAAGCAAATGATGGGGAAAAACACTGAATGGGAGATGAGCGGCTGCTCCTCGCGTTTCCAAACCGGCAGCTCCCGCAGGAGAGTCATGAGCGCGCCAGGGCTCAGCAAGGAGAGCAAGCGGCGCCTTCCCGGGGCTAATCCGTAGGGATGTCGCATCCCGCGCTCAGGACGCTGCTACGAGGCCGTCCCTTGGCATGAGCTGGGCACGGAACCATCAAAACCGCGGCGGCCCCGAGAGCCGGACGCGGAGCGAGCGCTCGGAGGGGGATGCGAGCGCGGAGGACGAGCGGCTCGGGCTCCCTCCATTGGAGGCAGCCGAAAACTGCACGCGGCACCGGTGACGCGGGGCTCTCCGGAGCCGCGCGGTGCCCCCGGCAGACCCCTCCGACGCTCCCCTCGTCCCCTGCCCGCCCGCTCGCTCCGGCGGGATGATTTGTAGCCTGCGCCGGGATCCTTCCCCATGAAAGATGACATATAAACCGTTATCGCTCCGGAACAGCCGCATGCTATAAAACGCCCGGCAGAAGGATCTGGAAGGGCGCGCAGGGAGCGCTCTCCATCCCTCGCTGCAGAGGGCTGTGGCATGATGGGGACAAACCCGCCCCGGCGGCAGCACCGGGGCTCCCCCTCCCCGTCGC